TGTGCACACCCGGATTCAACACCCGGGTGTGCACACTCTAGGTAACCAAAAATAACCAAAACATTTCAAAAGTGTAATTACAAACTTACCCTTTCCACTTTCTTTCTCTTTTTTTTTTTTTTCTTTTTTTCATTTTTTCTCCCAAGCAGAACCTAATCTGGTTTTCTGAGAACCCAAAGGTGGGGAGAACCCAGACTCACCCAACCTCTCCCTTTCCCAGGTTCTCACCTTGTTCCTTTTTTTTTTTCTTTTCTTTTCTCTCCCGGGTTCTCTCGAGAGAACCCAGACCTAGGTTCTTCGAGAAGAACCCAGATCGGGTTCTCCAGCAAAACAAAACAAAAAAAAAAGGGATTTCAAGTGTTTTATCCATGGTGAGGCATTTTTGGGTTTCGTTATTCACAACCACTGGGATGTAGAAGAAAAGTGCGTTCAGTGCCAAAGCGATTATACAGGCTAGGAGAAATATTTTATTCCATTTTTGAAGGAAAGATCCCTATGGATGAAGAATTTTCTTCCAAGAACCAGATCAGAGAATGGAAACAAGGTGCAGATTTGCAGAAAAGGAAAGAATCGAGAGAGAAGGAGTTAAGGTTAAATTTGTAATTACACTTTTAAAATTTTTGGTTATCTTTGGTTGTGTGGAGTGTGCACACCCGGGTGTTGAATCCGGGTGTGCACCTATCACGGTCCATTCATAAAACTTAGTAAACACAAAATTTTAGCACTTATACCTAGAGGTGGTTTAGGAAAATTTAATTCCTTTTTACAAGTAGCATACTAAAAAATTTGTGTATCATGAGTTGTACCTTCTCACCCTACAAGCACAAATGTGAATTGCAAATCAAAACTACATGCAACCATTACATTCTATGTTGGTGTTCCTTTTCTTCTATTGGTAAATCGTATTTGATCTTCTTTTTTCATGCATGTTGATACATGAGTTCCATCAATAACTTCCATGCAATCCTAATTTTTTTAAACAAAATAAGATAATAATGTCAATATAATTATTATGAATTGCCATATATTAAACAAGAAAGTTAAAAGGGGTAGTATCTTAAAATGAGGCATATATCACTTATCATCAACTATTTCATGAGGAATGGCACTATGGTTATGTTTGGTACAACTAGTGGGAAGTCTTCTTGGACTCCAAAAGCTCTAGCTGCACTAAACACTATAATTTATGAAAAATGCTACAACTTCTTACAAGTATTTTGTCCATTTCATTGCAAATCACAGAAGCACAAATTTAGTGCTTCTCATTCGGGTTTTAATAAAATTAACACATTATTCCTATTTTATCCTTATTTTTCTTTCTATTTACAAAAGTAGCACTTCTACAACAATTTATTTCCAACAAAACTTTTATAAAAAGCTCCAGTCACACCAAATGGGCACTAAATGTTGGACTTGAGATTTTATTAAGTTAATTAATAGGTATAACATTGCCTTCAATACTTCATGAAAACTTTGATTAATGGTTTCTCCTTAGTGTTGGAATCGCTCTTGAACTTATCTATTAGAAGCACCAAAAGTAAGAGTATACAAGAAATACATACTTTTTCTAAAACTAACATCCATTTAGAAGTATCCAATCCATACTTTGTTTCTGACTCAATACAAAGCCCAATGAGTGTACTTTTATCCATCCTAAACATATTGATGCTTTTTTTTTTTTTTTCATTCTCTTTAATTATTTCTAACAACCACATGTATCTAGATTGAAAAGAATCGATATAAGGTTCTTTATCTATATAGTTTACATAATACTCACTCATTGCTCCAACAATTGAAACTATCATATACATTTCTTATTGTCTTCTTCAATAAATGCCTTGCGTATGACATTAATGTCTACATCCATATCCATATCCTGATCCACATCCACGTCCATTTCTGTGTTTATGGGAAAAAAGAAAAGAAAAGAAAAAAAGACAAATAAACTATAAAAAAGAGGCAAATATTTAAGCTTAATTAAAAGAAAGTAAATATAAATAAATTTTAACTAAGAAACATTATTGTCATAAACATAACCCTAGCTCCAAATCAACTAATAGTCAAATATTAAACTAGTAAATGTTTAATGTTTAACATATAGCCTCTAGCTTGATTAAGAAGTCTAAATTAATGTAAATAAGTATAATTTGGCATCAAAATGCCAGTTTTCCACATTATAACGATACTATTGATAGTTGAGTTTTTGTTCTTCAATCTTCATGGCAACATAAGTTTCTCTTCTTATTTTTTTTCTCAAAAAAACTTGCATTGAATAAATATAGTTCACAACTAAAATGCATATATAACAAAGTGAGTATGTCACTCAAAACCTCTTTAATACTGCTACCAGGTTTGTTCCCAAATATAGTTGCCATAGTAGATGTCCAATTAGCCATAGTTTTTTACGATTCTTTAAGTTAATTAGTTATCAACGTCACACCATCACTTGGCAACTTCTTTCCTTCATCAGAGTTCTTTATTTACTTCGAGTGTGAGCTAATCATCCCATCATTCATTTTTTGTTTCTTTCCAATTTTTTTGGAAGTTTCATCCACATTATTATTTTTCGAGCTTTGCCCATTCAACCCATTCTCCATGAATCCATCTAAATTATAATCAAAGTCTTCTTCCTCTAAATCAATAGTAGTATCTCCACCATCTTCTTTATCTACTATCTCATGATTCTCATCAATTTCATTAGGTAATTGCCCAAGAGAAGGAGCATAAGCATAATTTCCTTTTGCTACATTATCAAATAACTCATATTTATCAAAAAGCTCCTTTTATATACTCTGCTCACAAAATTTTTCATATTTTGGATTTTCTTGAAACATAACCCAAATTTATTAATTACAATTAGTTGACCATTAGGTTTATTTTAGAAGGGATTGTTTAGTTATCAAATTATGCATTCACTTGTATCCTAACTTCCCAAACCTTTGAGGAGCGTCTATTGTCCCTATAATAAAATTTCATCCTAGTCAAATATTGTTGTTTCCTATTAATTTTTTCCATAGTTTCCACTAGTCACTCATCCAATCCCATTTGTTTTTCAATTGTCCTTGTGAAAAAGATCTCCCTATTGTTTTTATTTCATGGTGTATCCACTGTCAACTAGACTCACCCCATGTAGTTAGAACCCTTTTACCCAAGAGGGTGCCTTGGACATAAATGTCAACAAATATGTTTAATTGTTCAAGCATCCAAGTAGCCCTCATTATAGTGTTGCTTCCTTGTAACTGTTTCCAGTAACTCATCTAATATGTTTAAATTTAATTAAAACAAAAAACAATAATAAAATTAGCAACAATAACTAGAGGTGGCAAAATCTAACTTGAGCCA